AACTAGTCTAGCTTTTAGCCATATTTTAAATTTAAATCAAGGATGTTTTGTATTCTATATTTACAAATACATATTGTTTGTTCCGCATACATTAATGTGAACTTTTAGTTTCAATAATATGTTTAATCATGTGCAACAGGTTCATGTGCTGGCCAGTGTATTGAAGTCATTTTTACGTGACATGCCAGAACCATTATTAACATTTGATTGTTATGATGATTTTATTCGTGCTGCTAGCCTATCAGAAGATCGTGTCTCAACACTGTTTAACATTTTAAAAAAATTACCAAAAGTCAACTATGATTTAATGGAGAGACTTGTTTTTCATCTTGCTAGGTATTTATTTTAAGCTAACATTTTTTTTCAATTTATTTTGGCACAACTCTTTTTCAGGGTTGCACTACATGAAAATGTGAACCGCATGAATGCTAGTTCATTGGCTATAGTGTTTGCGCCATGTGTACTAAGAACAAATAAATTAGTTCCTGCTCAAGAATCACTTAGGGACATTGAACAACAGACTCTTTGCATCAGTTCTATAATTAGCCACCAAATGGATAAAATCAAATCAACATTAGCTGACATTGATACATTAGATACTGCACATCATACAGCCACACATCGATTGTCTTCTTTACGTATTTCAAAAGTATGTACATTTTTAAATTTCTAGAGATGTTAAAAATTAAACTATCTAATGTTTTAGGTGTATGGACCAACTGAAGGACCCAGTAAAATGGACGAAGAAGAAGAAATGCTGGTTGGACAAATTCAAGAAATCAAGAAAGAGAAAGACTTTTTGACCTCAAATTTACCAAGTTTACGACGCACAAATTCAGATGATGATCTCTTATCAACTGATGATGGAAGTTTAGACGATGTTGATACAAGTAAGTTTTTAATTATATACTTTGATGATCATATATTTCATACCAATGATAGTTATTATATTCATATTAATGGTACTATATGATCGAAAAATAAATAATATTACAAATAATCATAATTTAATATTTACCCAGTACAGACTAGGGCTAACGGTATTGAAAATAATTTTCGGTATTACGGTATTGATTTCAATACCGGTTTGAAACGGCATACCGAAAAACTGTTTGGTATACCTAAAAACCATACTGTTTTGGTATACCTCAAAATCAAACTGAAATGATTCATTATACCGATATGGTACGGTATACCGAAATAATAAATAAAATCTAACTAGTATCAATATTTTTTATTTTAATATTGTTTCACATTATATACTTTATTATATAATATTATATTCTATATTATTTCCATTGATACTAGAAAACAGCACTAAAACTTGCAATAATAATTATTTTATACTTAAAATTAAGTTATTTATGTAAATTCTTGGACTTTGCTTCAATTTTTTGAAAAACATAAGTAGATAACTAGTAAAACTAGTGGATTTTTTTAATCTGTCCCTACCTATCGGCTATCAACATCTATTACCTATAAAACAACATGATTACATGAATAGGTATTTTATATCTTTATTCTTCTACACTGCTACAGTATAGGTTTAAACTTTAAAAGTAATTAATTTGAAGCTTAGTAACACACATAAATGGTAGGTATGAGTGTTTTTTACCGTTCAGATGGTTTTTTACTTTATACCGTTTACCGAAATAATTTTTAAATACCGGTATACGGGTATTTAGGGTATACCGAAAATACCGTCAGCCCTAGTACAGACTGTCACAATCAATACCATCATCAAAAAAAAAAAAAACTATTTATTGTACTATATTTTGTTCTTGATTGTTTCTAGATACACTTAGTAGTAGTCGCAAAGCTAAACTGAAAAATACTACGAAAAAATCTAAACGTTCGAACAATAATACATTGGATAGCGATGAGGATCCAATTATGGTTTGAACATAGTACATTCATTTTACTTAATAATGCATTTTCTTTTGTATTTTTTAAACATATATAGTTATGAGTGTATTTTATTATTTAAGACTTGATAAAATACTTAAGTTATCCCAAAGGCTGTTACTTTTGTATAACTTGTTGTTTTGTATTATATTTTTTCCATTATATGTTGGTTAGTTGGTGCTATATCATTGTTATTTTATTTTTTTAATTACTATTATTAATTTTTTTAGTAGCCTTGTAAAAAAGAAAAACGTTTGTTAAACGTAAAGACTGTACTCCGATCAGAGTTGTGGTTATTTTGTACTTCTGTTCTTTATTGATACTTCTTTAGAATTTCATTTATAATGTTAATTGACACAACTGAATTTTATACTAAACGAGTGAGTTTATTTCTTTTTAATTTCCAACTTTTTAATTATCTTGTTAATTTGATTAATTTTTTTATATTTGTATGTATAATATAGTTGCTTAGTGAAAAATGTATTTTTTTTTAACTATTCTTCATAGTTTATTTTAATAAACTTATTATTTTACCATGACTAAATAATTTACAGAAACTATTTTATGTCTAGCATTTATGTTAAGCTATTTTTTTATTTTTATTACATTTTGTATTCATCTATAAACATATATTATGTTGAATGGCCCTTATATCATCTTATTATTACTATTCTAGATTTACAATTTCTCAAATTAAATCGTTATTGATAAAAATGTCCACTCTTAGTCAAAACAAAAAAAAATATTTCGATTTTTAATCAATTAAGTTCCCCAACTTGTGTCAAACTTTTCCATTTATTCATAAGTGTATATTTTATTTTTCGTGAACAACGAGTAAGTGCTGTGATCTAAAAACAAAATTAATTATTCTTATATAATGATTTACTATCTGTTTTTTTTTTTTTATGTGAATAGAAATATTGTACAAATAAATGTTACGCCATATTGAAAACTTCTAAATCGTTAAACAAAGTTGGGTATATTTTCAATTTTTGTGAATTATATAGATATTTGTAACATTGTGTTTCATACTCAAATTAATTCTACAAAAATCATTCTCAATTATTTGTTATGTTCTAAATATCTTGTTAAAAAATATTAAATTTATTTTTGTTGTAATACTTGTTAATTAAGTAACCTTTGTTGAAATATTAGTTGTTAAATAACTAAATAATAAAGTAGAAAGTTACATTAAGTAAAATGATTTATAATTTAATATAATTACATGAATTGAAAATGTTGGACCCATGTTTTTATTCACTTATTTTGAAACTAATTTCCATAGTACATTATTTATTATAAATTAGTTCTTCAAAAAGGTTTTTAGAAGAAAATAAGTTTTTTTAATTATTTTATTAATTGCATTTATGTATTTTTTTTATTAGGTATTATTTTAATTTTATTATTATTTATATGAGTACCAGAAAAAAGTTCAAAATCATTTTGAATTTAAATTGTATTATGAATCTAAAAAAAGTAAACTTTAATTAAAATGTTGATTTATTCCAATTACATGAAGTTAAAAACTTGTAATTTAAACTATATGTTTTATTTTTTATTAAATTGAAGTATTTTCTTTTGTCAACATAAATGAGTTGTGTATTGTTAACCATAATTTATTGTTATTTTGATTGTATATTATTAATATTCTGATTAACACTATTTAATGTATTGCCTTAAGAATACACCATTAATTGTGGTAGTTAAACTGTGTATGGATCCAGATTTAGAACATACTCATATTTTTTATGAAAATATATATGATTAATTCATAATTTTTATTTAGAACAGATGTTAAAATACATAATTATTAATTTTACAATGCTGTGTTTCACTCATGTAATATTATCTGTGATTTATCTTCCATTCTGTATATGAAATATTCATTGTATAGATACATTGTGTGTATTCATAAGTATTTACATATTTTAAACCCAATATAAAGCTTATTAGTTTTGTAATTAAATATTCTCAATGTATATAAGAAAGTGAACATGTTTTGTTGTTGTAAAACATTTATTATTATATTTTACATGTAGTTAAAAAAATTGAATTGTCTGTACATACATAATTCTATCCTCAAAACTATTTTTATTTATAATCATTCATTTTTTTTTTAATAAGACAAAATAGTCATTTAGAGTGTAATATTATAAAATAAAAATAATTTTTTTGTATTTTATAAATTTGTTTATTTAAACATTAGTTCAATTTAGGCCAAAGACATTGTTCATTAAACAATACAATATTCAAAATTGGGCCCAACCTTAGAAAATGTACTAATAGTGTTGCAGTAAATCCATATGTTTGTGAATAGCTCCCTATCTCAACATCACCTGTACATAACACTTGAAATATTTTGACTTTTTCATATAATTGTATGTTGAGACTTGTAATTTCAATACTGAAGAGTTGATGAGATGTTGTCAGATTGGTTAGGCAAGCTACCGAGAAAATCTCGGTGGGCCGGTCGTGTGAGTTGAGAGTGAAAATAAATTCATGTTTAAAATACTAACATTTCCAAATAATCGTTTGAGAAGTAAACAACAATTGTTCCTAAAGTTTTGATGCGTATACCACTACATATAATTATTTAAAGAATCATCCATATTGGCGCTCATGGCAGACAATTCCCGCATGAAATGCCATCAACATACAACTCACTTTCAGGCGCCGAGTGTCTACCACGGTCTACGAATTAAGGTAAATGGTAAAAGGATAAAATATCTAAATCTATAAAATGAACAATAGTTGGTCGTTAATTCTGCGAGGTTATAAGCTTATAAGTTTGTAAATAAATACTCTCAATATTTATAAGAAAGTAAACATGTTTTGTTGTTGTATATGAAGTCAAACATTTATTATTATAAATTATAATTTATAATATAATATGTAGTGTAATTAATTGAATTCTCTGACGCTCTGTATATACATTATTCTATTTCTCAACATTTTTTTCTTTTACAAATTTACAATCATTAATTTTTTTTTCTTCATAAAACAAAATAGCCTAAATAGTGTGAAAATGTGTAATATTATGAAATAAAAAACATTTTTGTTCCTTTTGGTATTTTATACATTTATTAATTTAAACACTAGGACAATTTAGGCCATTGACATCGTTCGTCAAACGATACAACATTCAGAACGTTGGGCTTCTGAAAATATACTAAAAGAGTAGCAGTAAATCCGTGTATTTGTGCATCACTTCCAAACTCGACATCACCTGCACACAATACTTGAAACATTGATGCTTTTTCTGGCAACTGCATGTCGAGACTATTAATGTCAATGCTGAAGAGTTGATGAGTTGTTGTAGCCATTGTTAACATAGCTTGTTGAATTGATGAATGGCCTACCATACGGTTGCCAAGCACAACAAATGTACCATCTTCTGGAAATAATGTGTGGAGTATGTGACGGTTTTTATCATAGCTATTAAAAAAGTCTTGGACAAATTTCAATACAGTAGATTCTTCATTTTCTAAATTGTCATTCATACTATAATAGATAAAACAAAATAGTAAAATATAAAATAAAGCTTGTAAAACTAAAATATTTTTAAATAATATATTTGTGCTTCCTCTTTTGATAAATTTTAGTTGGATGGAATTGTTCGATATGTAAAAAACAAGTGATAACAAATTTACAACTAAATTGTACAGATAAATTAACAGTTGAGATGAAAAATAATAAAAATATAGTATTAACAACTAACAAGTTATAATGAACCCTTTTTAACTACTAGAATCGGTACCATAAATATTGACCTTAGATTATAATTAAAAATATATTTCAGAAGACTAGAATTATAATGAGTGTATTGACAGCCATTTAAAAATTTACTGTACATAGCAAATAAATCCATGAAATACAAAAAACACTTGTTTTATTAAATAGGTAATCATTATGAAAAGTCCACAAGATACAAGCAATCGGACATTATTGTTACCAGTTTTAACAGTTTTGTAGCTGCTTATACAAGAGTACAAAACTACTTATGGGATAACAGCTAAGTAGCCAACAAGTACCTGGTCACGACTGAACGAATAATGTTCAGAAATTATTTGGTAAAATCGATCTTTAGATCTCTTGAGGATTTTGAATAAAACTATTCTTTGTTGTAGACACGGATTAGTATCATTGACTGAAACAAAATTGAAATTTGGATCTTTAGCACAGAATTCTGTGTCTTTAGTATGTATGGTAACACTATAGATACCTACATTTAGTAGAATACTAGTAAATATTATGAACTAACTTAGTTTCTGATATGAATACTGACATTTCTAAAAACAATTTTAAATTTTCATAAAATTAGTTAACTAGTTTTTGAGTGTATAAGTTACAAACATACAATCAACTCTCATAATATGGTCTATGGTTTTACTCAAGGTGGATTTATAAAATCCATTAAATCCACCTTGGTTTTACTATTGGCTTCATAATTAATGAACCTGTCACTGATTCAAAAGAAAATAGATTCACCTAATTATAAGAACAATTTTAGATGCCTAATCTGATTCAAATGATTTGATTCATTTAAACGACCAAAAAATTCGCACCTCCCGAGCAACAAGTGATAAATGTTAAGTCAAAATTTTGGTTATCTAAGGATTTTAATAATATAAAATCTATTTTCAACTATAAACTAAGGTACCTACCTGATTTATAGGTAGGTACTACGTAATTTATAGTTACTGGTACAAATAAATGATTTTTGATCATAAATTAAGATTTTACCTGGTAAGTGAGAAGTTTTAATTAATTTTGAATAAACTAAATGTTTGTCACTAAAACAAAATACAACCTACAACTTTATATTTCTAAATTCTTTCAAATTTACAATTTATATTTTAATTTTGAAATTGTTTTTAATCATTGTGATGATATTATCTATTATCAACTATTAACGTTATTTATAATCATTGAACTATATGATAACTGGAATGCTCACCAAGCAGTGTTGCCCGAGAGAGAATGTTAGAACGAAATGGGACATACTAATTGTTTTACTATCTTTGTCATGCACATGGCGCATATGACACATCTAATATTCGTTTACCTCGATATTATTTTAGTTTAATTCTTAAAATTTGGATCTCCTTATTTATTTTTTAACTTCCACAAAATCTTTAATAGAATATTAATAATTTATAATATAACAAGTAATGAAACATACTTTTCTTGAGGACTTCTACATTTTTCATATAAATCATATAATGTAAAGGAATAATTTCGGGAAATTGTATGTTGGGAATCAATTAACTAGTAAATTGAAAGTTAGACGGTTTTAATTCATAACCATAAGCATATAAAATAACGTCAATTTTATTTTTAGTAAAATAATATATTTATTAAAATAAAAACATAGTATTTATAATATTATTCATAATTGAAAGAAAAATTACACTACTTACGTACCTGAAACTGTATTTACTACTTACCTACCTTAAATTGTACTTACTACTTTCCTAACCTAAAATAAATAGGTAATCATTTAAAGATACTATAAGAAATTGTAGATACTTTAACTATAGTCGTAACCTTGGAGTTATATGGTCTGTGAAGTCAACTAGGTAATTTATGTTGAGTTGACTTCAGCTAGATATTTTTCTGTAATGACAATAAAACTATAAATTTGTAAAAATATTTTATTTAAAATAAACTAGCAAAATATTTAACTATATAAGAACCTATTGTGGTGATATATGATGGTTGATTTATTACATATACAAGCATTCATACATACAATCATTAAAGCATAATAAAAAAAAAAAATACACCACAAATTAACAAAATTATATTATGATAAATAACTATATATACTAACTTGTGAAATGACAAGTCTTTCCTAACGTCACTTGAGCTAGTACAATCAAAACCACTACAAAAATTCACCATCTTAACTTGTCCACTATTTGAATTTTATTTAAGTTAAAGTTTAAAACTTTAAACGGGGGCGATTTTAAGGGGGGGTTGATACCCCCCGAATGTCAGCAACTGTAAGTACAAGTCGGAAATTTTCAAAAATCCAACTTTTTATAGATTCTGAGCGGAGCGATGAATGCATTAATTGTACAATGTGTGTTTTATTTTTTTGTTTCTGTCATCACCTTTGAGGACAGAAAAAATGCTTAGATTTTCTTAAGCAGTCCAATCTTTACTAATAAGAAAGTGAATCTAGTTGGTAGGTACTTTGGGGGGTCAAAAGTAAAAAATTCCAAATAGTTTTCAAAAGCGCCGGGAAAAACCAAAAGAAAATTAAGGAAAACCTGTAATTTTTAAGCAAAATCGATTTTGGTTTTTGGTGTAACTTTAAAACAAATGAACGTAGATTCATGACATTTTCCCTAGTTGTTTAATGTTTACATAAGCATTTTTACAAGATAAAATTTTCAAAAAATGTTGGTTATTTTTGAACTGTTTACGGATATTTTCAGTTTCAGTTTTTTTAGTTTTTTTTTTTCTATGAATTTCAATAAAATGTTATTTGTTGGGTAAAAAAGCTTGATTTAAAACAAGGATCCTATTATATTGGTTCACAGAAAGATGAAAAATATTAAAAATCCATTGTCGCAATTTTTTATAAGCATTTAAAGTTCAAATATTGACAAAATATGTAAAATTCACGAAAATGTGCAAATTATTTGAGTTAGAAATTCATAAAAAGATTTTTCATAAGTTTTTCTACCTTAATCAAAAAAAAAAAATGCCTACAAGCAAGTCAAATTAAATTTTTATGAGCGTTTGAAGTTCAAATTTTCACAACATTGGATATTATTCACTCGATTTCTCATATGTAGCGATTTTCTTATTTTGTTGTAATTAAAAAATGATTAACCATAGACACAGTGCTTGAATTGGAAAAAAAATAGAAGGGGTATGCAAAAGTATAAAACATTTGTGCGTCCCCCCAACATTTAAATGTCTTATCAATTCTTGAAATTAGAAGGGGTACGCTAAAATATTTTAAAAATAGAAGTTGGACTCCGTCCCCCCGCGTCCCCCCCAATTCAACCACTGCATAGACACTTGAGATTTATATCATGTTTATTTTGGCTATACTTGATAACATTCTCAAAATATTTTGACTTGTTTGAGCTGTTTACGGACAATTTCAAAATTTAATTTTTTAGTTTTTTAGATTCTGAGTGAAACGATGAATGTATTGATTTTACAATGATGTGTGTTTTTTTATTTTTTTATTTTTTATTTTTTATTTTTTTATTTTTTATTTTTTATTTTTTATTTTTTTTGTATCTGTGTACACGATAAGTAGTCGAAATAATGCTTCGATTTTCGACTTCAGTATCTTGTTCGATTGGAAAGTGAATATCGTTGGTGCATTGGGGAGGTCAAAATTTAAATTTCCCAGTAGTTTTCACAAGCGCCGGGACAACATAAAAATAATAATAAATAATAATAAAACAACATAAAAATTAAGGAAAAACGGGAATTTTTACGCAAAATTGATTTTCCAAAAAATCGATTTTGGTTATTGGTGTAACTCTAAAACAAATGAACGTGTATACATGAAATTTTCACTGGTTGTTTATATTTGCATTTTCTATACACGATAACATTTTCAAAATATTTTGATTTATTTTGAACTGTTTAGGGACATTTTCATTTTTAGTTTTTTTTTAGTTTTTTTTCTAGAAATATCAATAAAATTTTATTTGTTAGTTGCGAAAGCTAGAAAATTTAATAGAAGGCTCCTAATATATTGTTTCAAAGGCAGATGAAAAATATTAAAAATCCTTAGTCACAATTTTTTTTTATAAGAATTTAAAGTTCAAAAATTGACAAAATATGGAAAAATCACGAAAATTAGCAAATTATTTTGAGTTAAGAATTCGTAAAAATTTTTCTTTTTAAATCTAAGATTTGAAAATCTAATACAAGATTACTCATAAGATTGTCTACCTTTATCAATAAAAAAATCTCTACCGGAAAGTCAAATTAAATTTTTATGAGCGTTTGAAATTCAAATTTTTACAACATTGAATATTCACTCGATTTCTCATGTAGCGATTTCCTTATCTTGTTGTAATTCAAAAACGAATGACTGTAGATACATGAAAATTTCACTGAATGTTTATATTTGAATTTCCTATACACCATATACAATTTTGAAAATATTTTGACTCTTTTTTAGCCGTTTACGGACATTTTCGGTTTTCAATTTTTTTAGTTTTTTTTTTCTATAAATATCAATAAAGTTTTATCTGTTGGGCCAAAAAGTGTAAAAATTTAATACAAGGCTCCTGATATATTGTTACAATAACAGTTGAAAATATTAAAAATACATAGGCACAATTTTTTTTTATAAGCATTTAAAGTTGGAATTTTGACAAAATTTATCAAAATATCGAAAATTATCAATCGTTGGAATTAAAAAATTATAAAATGTTCAGTTTTTATAACTAAGAGTTGAAAATTTAAAACAAAGATTCTCTTAAATAATTCATACTTTAACCAAAAAATCTAAAAAATA